GTGCGATCCGCTCCGCTCCGCTCCACCACCGCCGCGGCCGCCGCTGCCGCTGCCGCTGCTCCTCGGCGCTCTCTCCACACCGGCGCCAGCCGGACTGCCGGGCCGCTTCCCGCCTCCGCGCTGCGGTTTCTCTGGGTCCGTGAGACGAAAATAAAACGCGGGGCGGAGCGGGGGTGGGGGGGGGAGGGGAGGAGGGGGGCAGGCGAGTCCGCGCGTCCCTCTCTGCTCCGCTGCGAGCCTTGGCGTCCCGCACGGTAGTCCCGGCCAGACCGAGGGTTAGCAGCTTTCCTCCACTGCCGAGGTCCTTGGAGCCTCGGTGCCTTTGCTTGTAGCGAGAGAGACTCAGATCCCAAGTCATACACTCTGCCGGACCTTAAAATAGGTGACAAGTCTGCCTTGGATACGTTTGAGTGAGTTTATGATCGAGGGGCGCTGCAGTTAACTCTCCTCTGCCAAATGTGCAGAAAAGCGGGATTTTATATGGAAACAGTTGACTGGAGAGACACAAAAACATCGCTAGAGTCTTGCACCTGGCCCAGCTTGCAGCTTCACCGTTAAACGCACCCGGGCATTTCCCCAGGCTTGAACTTGAGGCTTAAGGAAAAAATGATAACCTAAATATAGCTACTTAGATGATAAGAGTAGAAGCTTTGCTAAGCAGATTTTCGTCGGAATGCTTTAGGGAGTGAAAGGCACTAAAATTTTAGATCCAGATTTATCATTATTTCTACCTTATTATTTATTTGGAAGGGATCACGGGGTAGGACCATGGCAGAAGTGTGAAGAATTGAAGTCATCAGGAAGTAATACTTAGACATTACCGGAATTGGAAAATTAACCACTACTTCTCTTTCTAGTACATCAACACGCATAGCTGAAATAATTTTTAGGATAAACTGTTTTCAGTGGGGAGAATAGTTATAAAAATTACTCAAAACAATAATTACTCAACATGGTCAAGGGAAGACATTTCAAGAAATATTAAAATGGATTAAAAATCATGAACTAATGCGTGTTGGAGAAAAAATAAAACACCTACTGGGTATTTGTCATATTTAAAGGGCTGCCATAGTCCCTAAGTACAGAGACAGAAAATGAGTAAAGCATTTAAATAAAGTATGTGGTGGGGCCTGGATTGGGGCATTCCAGGCCGAGGTGGGCTAGCCTGTTCTCCATGGTGAGGTCCAGGACATCCATGGCTATATACCAAGACCCTATCTACAAACAAACACAAAATTGCATGGTGGAGGTAGTAGCAGTTTGAGAAGTCAAAAGTGTTAGAGCAGTTCTAGGATCTTGGATTCAACTGGGCATTCATTTTAAAGACTTCAAAAAGAGAGGAAGGCATCAGTAACTCAGGAAATAGTATCCTTAAGGGGAGGTAATATGTATCATACTATTAGAAGAGAAAACCACATTGTCAATTACACTGTTTAGTCTTGAATGACAAGGTCTGGGGGTGCACCACAGCGAAAGAGCACTTGCCTAGCATTAGTGAGGGGTGCCCTGGGTTCAATTTCCAGCACTCCGATGAATGACAAGGAATTCAGATTTTAAATGGAGGCAGTTGTACAGCTATAAAATTACTTGAGGTACGGTTATCTCCTGTGACGTAATTATGATCAAAGCAAAATACTTGTAAGTTAACTATGAAATGTGTATTGAAAACATATTTTGTGATGGTTAGAAAGGATTTAAGGGAGTAAAAGTTCCTGCCTGTGCAAGGTGTAGTAAGCTTTGCCAAATGCAGATAAACACCACAACAAGGTTTTAAATATATTGCCTAGCTCAGTCATCAAACATAGTAGGAAGTAGGTTCTTTTCCAATACTCAAGGTTAATTCTTTTAGCTAGCCTCAGTCTGCCAGATTTTGTGGACCTTATATAAATATTCCAGTCTATGAAACCATCATGTCTGTAACATTTGTCTCTTCCCTTCATACTCAACTTAAGGTACTTCAAAAATTGCTGTAGTGTATGAAATGGTATTAACCGTCACTTAACTACACATTAAGCACATTGTTCCTTGACACGAAATGCTGTTCTAAACTATGCTTCTGTTGCATGTAATATAAACACGCCAGCTTTCCAGACACCACAGAATATAAAGTGCTAAAAATTGATAGACTAAGTCCTTTGTCAAATGGTTTCCTATTTTACTTATTTAGCAAAATCCTGTAAGAATTCGTGTGCTCTTAATCTATTAGAAGATACATTAAAAAGAATTCTGGTTTCCAAGAAAAATCTATTCTGGTTTGAGAGGGGTGGGGAGTGTGTAAAGCCCAAGATGGAGCCAGAGCAAGGAGAGGAGAAGGGCACAGTTCTTGCTGACATAATTCCGACGACCTGACTGGAGGCCTGTGAAAAAAAAAACGCCCAGGTAAGCGGTATTGCCGTGATTTCAGGAGATAAACTCCTACACAGGCATTCACTCAGTCACTTCTTCCATTCAGGAAACACCACGGCAGCACTTAAGGCCCAGCTGACACTGTGATAAATGCCAGAGATAGAGATCGACACCTGGCTTCTAGCAACGCGGCCAGGAATGGATTACAAACACAGGCTTTTGTGTCTCCCTTCCCGCTCTGTGTGTCTTTATAGCACTTCACCATCCAGCATAACACAGATTTTTATTTTTCTCTCCCTGCTCTGGAATATAAATGAGCTCCATGAGCTCTGGTTATTTTGCTCAACACTGAATCCTGGAGCTTAGGACATGGTTCCCAACAAACGTTGAATGGAAGAACATTTCATTCTTACATTCTGCGGTTCTCTATTAATTTCCTGTGTTAAAAAAAAAAAAAAAAGATTAAACTCAGTGGCATCTAGGTATCAAGATACTTACAGTAATACGTAGCCAGTCTTGGATTTAAACACAGTCTCGACTGGATCCAAAGCTAGCCTTCTTGCCCCACTGTCAAAACAGAAAGCTTATGGCGTTTATTACTTGTTCTTCATATTTCTGTGCCAGAAACAACTGTCTCCTACTGTCCTATATACATTTTGGGAATTTTTAGGGTGTTTTTTGTTTTTTGTTTTTCAAGACAGGGTTTCTCTGTATAGCTTTGGAGCCCTCCTGGAACTCTCTCTGTAGCCCAGGCTGGCCTCAAACTCACAGAGATCTGCCTGCCTCGGCCTCCCGAGTGCTGGGATTAAAGGCGTGCGCCACCGCCGCCCAGCTGACTAACCAGTATTTGTAGATGAAAAGGTTAGGGGTGTGCAACAGAACTACAAGAACCAGGCTGGGTACAAGAAAAGACCACACTGGCCCACAGAGGTAGAAGAATAAAAAATAACCGAATCCACCACTTTTATCGACAGTAGACTCTAAATTGGAAACAACCCTAAAATATACCATCTGTAAAAGGATAAGCTAATTGTGGGGTATCCATATATGCTATTGTGGAATAACCATAAGCGCTTTTTAAAGTTTTTTTTTTTCATAAAATGTATTTTATCATATTTTTCACCTCGCCCAACTCCTCCCAGATCTTCAGAGTCTTTTTTTTTTCTTAAGTGAGCATACAAAATAATGGATTTCATTATCACATTTTCATCCATGGATGCATCCTAAACAGAATGCTGAGTGAAATAAACCAGACACCAAAGAGAGTAAATATTGCACGATCCCATTTATGTAAGGCTCTGGAAAGACACGTGTGACCCAGAGTGACAGAAAGCAGACCAACAGTTGCTGAGCTGGGGGACAGGGTGGGACAGGACGGACTGGGGTCGGTAAGAGGGGTTTGGAAAACGTTTTGTATCTTGATCCTGGTAGAATGAGTGCAAATTTCATCCAAACATTTAAATATAGTAACACATATTGTACTTCACTACATCCTCCTTGATGAAAATGGACACAAATCTCAAGGAGTTTCTAGTTCATAAGTGGACTGTATTAGGAAAGGATAGGCTGTGTACATCAGAAAGCCCAAGAGAGTGGGTCCAGCTAAGTGGTAGAGTGCATGCCTAGCATGTACCCGCCCTGTGTTCAGTCCTTAGAATAAAAAACAATGGTTTAAAAGCAATAGTTTTCTTGGGGAGTGAGGGGATGGGAAGTAGCAGTACTCTAGGGATTAATTAAACCTAGAACATTGTACATGCTAGGGAAATACACTACTTGAGCTCCTCCTTACCCTCTTTTCTTTCCATTCTGTTTTATTATTGTATTTTCTTTGAGATGGGCTCTAAGTTTCCCAGGATGGCCATGAACTCCCGTTGTCACCCAGGCAGACGGTGAACTTGCCATTCTCCTGTCTCAGCCTCCGGAGTGGCTGGAACCACAGGCCTCCGCTCTAGGCCTGTTTCCTTAATACATAAGCAAATGGTCCATTTTAAGAGCCAGTGAAATGTACTAAGAGCTCCGGAGCTAAAATAATAGCACCACTGACCCATCATGAGTCCAGCTTCTGCTACCCTTATCTGTTCTCAAAGTGCTCATGGTTCCAGATGCCCACCAGTTTCCCATCATTACTGTTCATTTCCCAGGTACCTGAAAGAGCCTTCAACATGTCTCTCCTTAAGTTCTAGCAAAACCTGTACACATTTGTCATGTAACTATATATAGTAACAAGGGAGCCTAGGAGATGCAAGTACGGTAGTCCAAATACATTTTCTCCTCCAACAACATAGGCCTTGATTTTTAGGAGAAAATACTTTTTGGTTGGACAATGGTCTCCAAGTGGTAAAGTGGGTTCTTGACTAATTTAAGCTGTTCACACAGCATTGAGCCTGCCCTCCCTCTGTCCAGTTTTGTGAGCCCGTCCTTATTTAAGTGAAATTTGATTTGGGCTTTGTTTTTGGCAAGAGAAAATATTCTATCTAAAATAATCCACTGTAAAATGGAACATAACTCACTTTGCAAGATGGTAAGGTAAATTCGTAATGGGTTTAGCTTAAAGGAAAATACTTCTGCAGGAGTATAGTTTTTGATAATAAGACAGTTTCCAGGGGCTTTCCTGAAATGGAAAAAAAAAAAAAAAGTGAGCGGTTCGTAGGATCTTGAAGCTGGACTCCGGGACGGAGATGTGGTTCCAGTACGGGGACTGTGGGACAGTAGAGGGGCTGCTGTCGTGCCAGATGGAAGGTACTTTCATAAATAATGAGTCATGACACTATTCCTCAGAATTACCTGACATCTGGTATCTATTTTTAAGTAATCTCTGAGAGTGGGGAATATAAAATTGGTCCAGCTGATGATTGGCAAAGATAGGTGACACATGTCGTTTATTAAATGCTGCTCTGTACTTTTTAATGTGTCTGACGTGTTCCAGAATTAGAAAAGCAGAGGCAATGTTGTAAGGGGTTCTCCTCCCCCCTTTTCTTTTAAAGGCTGGCCCTGGACATGCGATGTACCTCGGACTAGCCTTTAACTCTTTTCTTACTCCTTTTGTATTCATTAACTGCATTTTATAAGAATTTTCTAATGTTTGGTTTGTGTGTCTGTTGGGCCTCACAGAAGTCAGAAGCTGAGAAACTGACCTTCAAGAGAGTTACTGAGAAGTAACTTGAGTGACACACAAAAGGAAAAGGATTTTGTACTGAGCAGGGTGAACACAGCCCTTAACCACGAAGTTTACTGGACAAATCTCGTCTAGTTTCCAAAGGGAAGCTATGGAGTTGACTGCCTAATAGAGTGTTCCAGGATTGGCCAGAAATACCTCCTGGACAATATTTGATACTTGTTCCTATCGTATATAGTTTTGTATTTAGTTAGAACTTCCTTATTTAGACAAAAGGGGGGAGATGTAGTGGGTAGCTGCTCCAGCTTTGACCTTGAAATGCTGCCCCTAGTGTGACAGCTGCCACACCTGCCTATGACCTACTTGCCCCGGCCAGCAGGGGGTCAACAGGGGCGACCCACCTGTGGGAGAGAATGAAAGGGACGGGGAAGACAGCAAGACAGGGTTCTGATCAAGCTGCAAATTTTATTCTCCTCAGCAAGGCTTATATAGCATGGGAGGGGGAGGGGGCAGGAAGGAGGGAAGGGGTGCAGGATGTGCAGGTCATGAGGCTGCAGGGTGTTGTGCCAGGTGATAAGGTCATTGGTCAGGGCCCATAGGATACTCTATGCACATATCATATTAATCCTATCTGAATTCCCTGATCAACTTCAGGATCACTGCGACTGAGAAACGTCATGTGTGTCTGATGAGCTGATACGATAGGAGTATCTACAGTGCAGCTTATTAAGTACCTGAGGAAAGAACTGAACCCAAACGAAACTAAGCCTCTACATCTTTCAGTTTACAGGAACTAGAGAAGATGGAATAATAAACAGAAACCATCATGAAAGATCAATGAGGCAAATCAATAATGGTGGATAGTCTACAAAATAAGAATTAATATTTTGGTTCCTAACAAATCAACTTTATGAAGAATTGGAGAAAATGAGACCTAACTCATTTTGGTAACAGTATTACCTTGATAAAAACCAAAAAAGGTAATATACATACAGGGGGGAGAAAAGGTACAATACAAAAAGAAAATTACAAACCAAAAAACCATACAACTCCATCTCCCTTGTAAACCAGCACAATTCTCAAGTTGTCAAAGAATATGTAAAAGGGATAAAACATAATAACCAAGCAGAGTCAAACTCATGGATATAAGGATGGCTAGCTATTCAGTGCATTCTAGAACTGCAGTTTGAATGTGTTGTTCCCCAAATCCATGCTGACATGTTATTGCCGAAACAACAGCATGAAGAGACGAGGCCACTACAAAGTGATGAAGTCACAAGAGCTCTGCCCCTAGTGTTCTTACAAAGGACTTGGGAGAACCAGCTGCATATCCTTTGGCCTTCTGCCATGTGAGGATGCAGTGTTAATCCCCACCCCAGGACACAGTGTTCGAGGTACCATTTTGAGAGCAAAGACCAGACACGGGTATCTTAATCTTGGACTTTCACAGCCAACTGGGACAAGGATGAGAAGTTAGTTGCTATTGACTCTTCACTTTATTCTTGCTCACTGTTGTAGGGAGAAGTTGTATCATTATTTAAATAAAAAAAATGATGATGGGGGAATGAAGAAATGAAAGATAATACAAGTCAGGGAGAAAAAGAAAAGTAACTTCTGATTCCTGGATAACATTGTTTATATAGGAAATTCAAAGAAATCTACACAAAGTAACTCCTAGGATTAAGTTCAACAAGTCATAGGCCACAAGATAAATAATTATCTTGGTAATAAATAATTATAGACCAGAATTAAACAGCAATGCAATTTTCAGGTGCTCCAAAATGGGTGTTTGCATACTAGTATAACAAAGCATGTCCATGACACTTTAGTGATGAAATGTAAAGGCAGTGGAATAAATAAAGTCTGAGTGAACAGACCCCTTAGACATGCCCTGGAAGATCCCAGCAGATGACGCTTCTCTTGACACTGATCTGGAGATCTAACTCATCCCAAACAAAAGCTCCACAGGATTATTTTTATGGATATAGACAAATTCATTAAAAATACATATAGGGTTGAGAGAGAAGAGTAGCCAAGGCAATTTTGAAAAAAGAACAAAGCTAGGGAAATTCCACCATCTAATTTTCAATCTTTCTAAAAGCTATGCAACTCGGGCTGGCAGCAAAGGAATTATAGTCATAGATGACTGCCACAGGACAGGGCTCACAAACGGACCCAGATAACCATGGTCAGGCGGTTTCTAACCAGGGTGCAAAAGGCAGTTCAATCATTAAAGATGCCCTTTCCACAGTTAACACTGGAACACTTAAACATAGGCTGAAAAAAAAATATTAAAAGAAAAAGCTCACAACCTTATATAAAATTATTGAATGAGCATAGATCTAAATGAATAATACAAAAATAAAAAAATTCTAAGGAAAATATAGAAAAATGGAATGGCCTAGGTTTTCAGTAAAGAGTTTCTAGACATGATAGCAAATGTAGGATGCATGAAAGAAAAGAAATGATCAGAAAGCAAACATTAAGAACAGTTAGTGTGAAATAAATGGTGGAAAATGAAAAGACTACCTAGAAATCACACATCTGACAGGGGAATCATCTACAGGCAACAGCATGAGCCCGGGCTCAGAGACCTTGCATGTTTCCACACAAGCCACACAAGCCAGGCTTGAACAGCAGCTGGATCAGCAAAATGTCCTGAGGGTCCCCTGGAACAAAACAAGGGAAGCTTGTGAGGTCCTGCTACCTGGCCAGTCCTCCAGGGCTTGCCTATGCACCAAGTAGACTACCCTGGGAATAGTTTCTCATTGTCTCACTAGAGCTTCTGAGGACATTTTGCCTCATCACCCTTAAGGCATACCTGGAAAGTGCTTAGCAGCATCAGGGAATGGGCTCTTTAGCAACAGGGTCATCTGTTTGTTTCACTTCACTCTGCATGAAGGACACTTGGAAGTGGCACTTTTAGCTACTTTTCTTTACTTTCTCTGCTAGCAACAATCTGAATCTAAAAACACCCACTACTAGCGCACACACACACACACACACACACAGAGAGAGAGAGAGAGAGAGAGAGAGAGAGAGAGAGAGAGAGAGAGAGAGAGAGAGAGAGAGAGAGAGCGAGCGAGCCTGGCTTTGGCCTGTGTTTCACAAAACCTAAAACAGAGAAACTCTCCAAGCTCAACATTAAGAAAACAACCTTCCCCACCAAAATGGGTAAAAGACTTGAGAGAACTCATCAAAGGAAACAGGTAGAAGATAAGCATAAGAAAAGCTTCCTAGCTGGGCGGCGGAGGCTCATGCCTTTAATCCCAGCACTCCGAGGCAGAGCCAGACTGATCTCTGTGAGTTTAAGGCCAGCCTGGTCAACAGAGCGAGATTCAGGATAGACACCAAAACTACATGGAGAAACCCTGTCTCAGGAAAACAACAACAACAACAACAAAATAAAACCATGAGACATCGAGGGGCTGAAGAGATGGTTCAGTGGTTAACAGCAGTTGTTGCTCTTTCAGAGAAACCAGGTTCGGTGCCCAGCACCCTCATGGCAGCTCACAACCACCTGTAACTCCAGTTCTAGGAAATCGAATGACCTCTTCAGGGCCCCATGCCCACCAGGCACACACATGGTACCCAAATACACATGCAGACAAAACATTCATGTGCATAATATTAAAATTAATCAAAAAGTTTTAATGAGACATCAGTAAATGCCTTTTATCATAGCTAATATAAAAAGGTGAATATTTAGAGCAATTGGAACTCTTAAGTGGATGGTTAGAAGGTAAATGGTACAGATCTCTGGAAAAAGAGTTTGCAGTGTTTTTATACATGCAATTCAACAGCTCCGTCCTGGGAATTTAACCTTAACAAGAAGCTAGATTTAACTTTAACCTGGACCAAGCTCTCCTTGCAAAGGGGAATGAATAATAAATCAACTGTGGTATACCCACACGGAGATACTGCTTAACACCAAAGAGGAGAAAGCTATTGATTCATGCAAAATGGATGAATCTTAAGTGCAGTTTTCTAAGACAGGGATGTTCTCAAAAGGTTACGTGCTGTATAGTTCCGTTTCTATCATTGTCTCAAAATGACAGAACCATGATGACAAAGACCAGATCAGGGGGTGCCAGGGGCTGAAGGTATGGGAAGCTATGACCATAAAGAGGGCAAGGGACATTTTTTTGGGGGGGAGGGTGCAAAACTGTTCTGTATCCTGGTTGTAGTTAGAGCTGCATGAATCTATGAGAACTGAAATAAAAAATCTATATATGCTAAAATCCGGAGAGCTGCAAAAAGCAATTTTAGAGTACATAAAATCAAAGGAAAAAAATATACATTATTTTAAAAGAGATAAGGAGAAAAAAAAAGATAGGGTAACTCTAATACAAGAAATTTAAGGGTTGATACAACCAAAGCTGTTTTTTTTTTTTTT